CCCCCGGGGGCCTCCGCCAGCCCCACACAATGGCCCAGACAAAGGCCGTGCTTGCTGGAGCCCATTTGTAATTCAAAGAGGGGCCAGGGGCCCCCCACGCCTCGGCCCCAGCTGCCAGCCCGGACCCCCCCATAGGTGGGTATGCAGTGAGGGGCGGGGGGGGCTGCGTGCCTCAGTTTCCCCGAGGAAAGGGGGTCCAGCTGTCACCCCCCGGCTCCCCAGGTTGTGCGTGGGAAACCCGTGGCTGCATCCTTGGGGTGCTGGGGAGGGAACTCAGGCGTCTGGGCCCCCCCGGCACAGCACCCCGATGAGCCGGTTGGGCTTGCCCTCCTCTCGCTCCCCTTTGAAGGGTGCCGGGGCTGCCGGCCAGGGCGGGGAGAGGCCCCGGTGAGTCACCGGAGCCCTCGGCGGGTGCCCGGGGGGGGTCCCCGGGCGGCTCCCCAGCACCCAGCCCGGCTATGGGGTGTCCCCCCACCCTTCCTCCCCCCCGCGCACCCATCCGACCCGTTCTGCTGCCGGGGCCCCCGGGCCCGGCTCTGCACCGTCCTGCCCGGCACCCACGCCCTGGGCCCGATGCCGGCTGCCAGGATGGGTGCCAGGCGGGCTGGGGGGGGGCTGCACCCACGTCCCCCCCCGCCCCGCCGAGCCCCCGTGGGCATACGGCCCCCCTCCCCGCTGCCCGTGCCTGCAGTCCATTCCAGTGTTCCCAGTCCTTCCCAGTTTGTCCCAGTAACCCCCCAGTCCTGGTGCGACGGGGCCGGCCGGAGCGGCATGGCGGGCCTGGCACCGGCGTGGGGTGCGGGGACCCCCGCGTGCTGGGGTGTCACAGCCTGCGGCAGTCACACGGAGGGGGGTGGGGGGGGTGTCACGCGCGTGCTGTATGTGCGCGCCCCGCGTCTGCAACGCGCGTGTGCGCAACCTGTCTGCGCGTGCAACGCGCGGGTGGACGGGCCGGCGTCCGTGTGCGCAATTCACACGCGTGGGTGGGTGTGCGCAACGCCCACGCCTCTCCGTGCCCTTCTCCATCCCCACGCTCCGCCAGCGGGCAGCACA